CAAGTCAGACGCAGCCCAAAAAATCATCGACTTTATGCAGTGGACCGAGAATCTATTCCGTTGGAAGCCTTGCGCCAATCGTTTGGACGGTGGAGGGGAGTTTGACAACAACCAGTTGCAGAACTACTATCGTGACAAGGGCATCAAACCGCAGTTTACGATGGCGTACACTCCCCAATATAACGGTGTAGCAGAGCGGAAGAATAGGTCCATAACGGACTTGACAAATGCTACTGGGGTGAAGCTGTTTTGACCGCTACGTACATACAGAACCGTATTCCGTCCAGATCAGTTCCTAAGACTCCATTTGATATGCGGTGGGGGCGTAAGCCAGATCTCAGCCACATGACAGTATTGGGCTGTGAGGCGTACGTTCATGTCCCCGACGTGAAGCGGAGCAAGATGGAACCAAAGGAGTAGCGACTCACATTCGTGGGTACAGTCGAATTTCGCTCGTTGGGCTATCTTGAAGTGGGCTTCGTTTTAGGCTCTGAACCATTTGGTGGATTTTTTTTTTGCTGCTCCTCTTTTCCCTGGCTTAGACCGTGTGACGTGGATTATTTTAACTTTTGGTTAAAATTTGACAGATGGAAAGTTATCGATGAACCCTGCTATCCGAGCATGGTTATTTCTGACAGACAAGAAGTTAAATTTTGACAACGGTGGGTCGAAAACAGGTCGATCGACAACACGGGGATTTTCGAACATAGAAAATAACTTTCGAAATGTCACTTTTAACCACGAGTTAATTTTAATCCGGGACGGGACTTGACAATCCAGCTTCTCACTCTTCTTAATGTTTTTGATGAATGCCCGTCGAAAATTAGTGCATGGTGTTTGACGGAGTTGACCAATGATGCCAGGATTGCAGAATGATTTTTATATTTTAATTTTCATTTGATTCAGAGTTTCTACCGCAGTTTAGCACATTGTACATCATTTTTGCTTAACACAATAAAAACAACCATAAACAAACAAGAACATCCATCTCTTAAAGCACGGCGTGGACCCTATTTTCAAACTTTCCTTTCGCAAATATTAACAATTAACAACGCCATTGAAGTCAACATTGATACCGGCATCACTGCCAATCACATTGATGAGATCCCTCTGTCCTTTTTATTTCACGATTGCTACTGTCAAATCAACCAATCAGCAACTGGCTCGGATTTGACAGCAAATTGGCTCTAAATCGCTACTCGATTGGCAAGTCCCGTCCCAGATTTTAATTAGTGGTTAAAAGTGACATTTCGAAAGTTATTCTGTATGTTCGAAAATCCCTGTGCTGTCGATCGACCGGTTTTTGAGAAGAACTCAGCCACGGTTGTAAAAATTTAACCTCTTGTCTGTCAGAAATAACCATGCTCGGATAGCAGGGTTAATCGATAACTTTCCATCTGTCAAATTTTAATCAAAAGTTAAAAAAAAATCCACCAAATGGTTCAGAGCCTTAGTTAGGCTTCCGTTAGTTGGGCTATAGCACACCTAAATCGAAGTCAAACGTCATTTTTGACATTACAGATTCATTTTTCGAGGGGCTCATGGATGAACAATTTGGATAGTTGCTAAACGATTTTGATGGTAATGGTAATAGACAATCGATGTATCCGCAAGCAATTTTCAGCTTTGACACTCAGCCCATAAAACAGCAACAAAGGTTATCTTCCATTTAATTCCACTTAATTAATTTTGGTATCTATAACAGAACTTGAATGTCCATAACTCCATAGTCCATAGCCATTCCTTGAATCATCGGCGTTATTATGGATTCGTTCTTTGGCTTCGATACCTCCACCCATCCTCGATCCACCCATTAATGAATTAATAAGCATCTATTACCAAGTCTGTTATTCATTAATGAATAACTGTTACGAGAGACGATCAACTCATAAATTAGCTGAATTGTAAATACACACTTCGGAAAATACACACGGCGAATGAGAACGACTCAAATTTGAGTTTAGTTCACTCATAATCGCCAAAAGTGCAGGAACTCAGCGATGAGTTAGTTTGCCTCATGTTTTCCCAGGTTTTTCCAGGATTTTCCAGGGAAAAATTCGCGAATTTGAGAAAAGTAAAGATTGGATTCACTCAGTCTATTGGTACTACTCCGAGACTGAATGAAATTTTCGTCAATTTCCTCATTTTCCGGCAGATTTTTAAGGTTTTCCACAGGAAACCATGGGACAAATTTTACTCATCGCTGAGTTCCTGCACTTTTGGCGATTATGAGTGAACTAAACTCAAATTTGAGTCGTTCTCATTCGCCGTGCACTACACACCTTGAAAATACTTTGTTCACGAAAAATATTGTCTGTTGCAGTGGTGACTGGATTTTTGGGAATATTTTGAGTCGCACTTTGATGGTACGCTGACGAAAAACAACGAACTTTTTGGTTATTTCACGCCTAGAACGCTATTTAGTTTAACACATTTCGAAACAAAAAAGGTGTATCATTTGAATTTAAACACGTCTCAAAATCATTTTCAATCTAATTCATACTTGGAAAATCATATAATTGTTCACAAATAAGTAATTTAGAATTGTTTGCAAAATTGCAAATATTTTGCAACAATATTTTTACACGTGTTTCGAGTAGAATGCAAGGAGAGTGTAAGATCTTGAAATCAAAACAATGTTTTTGTATTCACTTCGGATAAGCATAACTGTCACTTTGACAACTCTATCTGTCATACGCATAGCCCGCACTTATTTCATCCCCGCACTTTCAAAGTGCGGAGTCCAGTAAGGTGCAAAATGCGCAAAACATTTCATAATGAATTTAATATACTTTTTTACAAAAATACACAAAACTTAAAAATACATAAATACGAAAACAAAAAATACACAATACACCTTTTCAAGTCGGGTAGATGAATCGAAAATACTCAAGTTGAAAGCCCCTCGAACTGTTCCATATTTGTGGGTAAGAACTGCTCATTAATGGGTAATTTGGTTTACTTAATAAATGATTTAACGCACTTTTCTTAAAAATGGGTGAAATTCTACTCATTGATGCATTGTTTTGTGATTCAAGCTCAGATTAAAACACAAAATAATAAATTTTTGTTCGTATTGCGTTGTTGAATTAAAAAAAAAAATGCCGGCTTTTAAACATCACCTTAAAGAGCTTCGTTTTCTGAGCACAAATATATTTTTATCTATCCCATAGACATTCATCTTGATTTGTAAACCAAGTTTTAAATTGTCAATAAATGACATTCGATGGCATTATTATCCATCGAATGACAATTCGCTCTATGGCGAGGGGCGCTAAAATGGTGATACTTGCAAATGTGCACTGATTTAACATATTTCCCGTGCACCAAAATTTATGAAATTTTGGATTTAGGTTCCATTTTTAATGTAGATGACGAATATGCAAAAACATCAATACCCCTAAACAACCCCATTAAAAACAAAGTGCTGTCCGCTTGATAAATCCTTGATTTCTCAAAGTTCTAGAAGAGAAAATCTCATAATATTGCTCCGTGATAAAGTTCAATTCGAGGTTCAATTGTGAGGAAACGTCAAATAAAACTGCCCGGTTGATACGAACAGATATCTCTAATAAAAAATACCATAAAAGAACGATAACGCAAATGATTGAACTATTCCACAAATGGTTTGGATGATACCCCGAACACGTCGTTAAAAAAAATAACCATACGATTTTTATTAGGGACTAGCTGAGTGCCAGGCCTTGCTCGGGATTCAATATAAGCTTGAGCGTATGCGCCGAATAAAAAAAGCATGTTATATTGTACGAAGCCCCCCCCCCCCCCTCTTATCTGAGACGCTACCTCCTATGAACAGCTCCAAATTTGGTTCCATTTGCTTGATTAGTTTTCGAGCTATGCAGAAATTTCTGTTTAATTTGTATGGGAGCCATAACCATAAGTCTCAAACCATCATAAGAACTTTTCCCTGCCCCAAAAACCCCTGCATACAAATTTTCACGCCGATCGGTTCAGTATAGTTTCCGAGTCTATAAGGGTCAGATAGACACACAGACAGACAGAAACTCATTTCTATATATATAGAAGATAGAAGAAGAAGATAGAACACATCAAAAATCTGAATCGAGTTCCAGCAAAATTAATTGCTGAACTGCTTCCAGCAAAAACATTTCTTGCTGAACAACCAGCAATCCATAAAAAATGCTGGATTTTACAGTAATCTGTTTGAAACGTCAAAGTCGACCGGGCCGTCGTTCACTTCGCTGCAGGTTATTTTTTATTTTTCGAGTAAAGAAGTGTACGACTTTGGAATCATCCCATTAATTACATGAATTATATTTTAATCATGGAGTCAGTATTTTTATCTTTGAGTTGACTAAGTTTAAAATGTTATTTTCTCTTTATTTATAGCCTTTTCATTTGAATAAAACTATAAATTGGCCAATGGAATGTGCCCAAAATAAGCCCAGTTTTTTTATCGTTTGTTACAAAATTGTCTTCATATGAGAAAATTAAGTTTTGTACGATTATAATACAGCACGCCAGTGTACTTTAAGTGTGTTTCAGTAAAAATTCTATTAGGAATTTTATAAAAAATTTGAACAACTGAGAATTACTGTTCTTCCAGTAAAACGATTGGCATTACGCTATGCTGGATAATCAGCATACATTTCTGATTTTAACTGTATTTTGCTGGATGGATTGCTGAACTATCAGCTCGGCAAAATCCAGCAAAATATTGCTGGATTCCAGCAATAAAAAATGGGTGTGAAGATTATCTCGGAGATTATGAACCATTATTATTCTTTTTTTCGGAATCGATCGTAATCGAACTGCAATAAAGAGCATTGCGATTGTGCAGTCCCTCGGAACTATCAATCGCTCAATATTTTTAGTACAAAGCCTACCTTCCCGTCATCCGGCCAGCTGCACAACCCATGCTCCTTTGCTTATTTTGACAGTTCCCTCCCATCAATCAAAACGGCACGAAAAATTCTCGTCATCCTCGGACGTCGGAGAGGTCTCGTACGGTTCGTTTTTTGTGGCTTCGAAACAAGTAGTTTGCATTAATTCTATATCGCTGGTGATAACTGCGTAAAATAATCGTGAATCCCTCCTCGACAAACGATGGCCGTTAAAGCTATTAACGACGAGGCCCACTTTCAAGCCGAACTGGCAGCAGCGGGAGCTAATTTGGTCGTGGTGGATTTCACCGCAACCTGGTGAGAGTTTGTTCCCCTTACTATTTCGGTTGTATTGTATTGATTTTTGAAAATAATATTCTAGGTGCGGTCCCTGTCGGAACATTGCTCCACTGTTCGAGCAACTCCCGGCCAAATATCCCAAGGCAGTCTTTCTGAAGGTGGACGTGGACAAATGTTCCGAAACGGCTTCATCCCAGGGAGTGTCGGCCATGCCGACCTTCATCTTCTACCGCGCTAGGGTTAGTTTGGCAGGATTTCGTTCTTTTTCTACCATTTGTAGATGAATTTCCTTATAGACGAAAATCGACAGAATGCAGGGAGCCGACATCAACGGTTTGGAAGCGAAGATCCAGAAGCACTACGTTTCCAGTATCGATGAATCTGGAGAGGACTACGGGCATGGTTTGGTAAGTTTTTGCATTTGCTGATTCAGGACTATTTTCTAAATGAATTTGCATTCCTCCTTTTGTAGCTGGACCTTGCCACCTTCATCCAGAAGAATCAGTGCGAATGTTTGAACGAAGCGGACGACCATCCGATGACGAATGCTCTTAGTTCGGCCGCCGGGCACCTGGCGTCGGACTGTGACGAACAGCTGATCATTTCGATCACCTTCAACCAGGTGGTCAAAATCCATTCGATCAAGTTCAAGGCTCCCCCATCGCATGGGCCCAAGAATGTCCGGTTGTTCATCAACCAACCGCGGACGATGGATTTCGATATGGCCGAATCGCACGTTTCGGTGCAGGATCTGGTGGTGGACCAGAAGGATCTGGAATCGGGATCGCCGCTGCTGCTGCGTTTCGTTAAGTTCCAGAACGTGCAGAACATTCAGCTGTTTGTGAAGGACAATCAGTCGGGCGACGAGACGACGATCATCGATCATTTGGCCTTCATTGGATCGCCCATTGCCACCACGAAGATGGATGACTTCCAGCGGGTTGCCGGCAAGAAGGGCGAGAGTCACTAGTGGGATCAGGTGCGATGGAGCAGGGAGGCGAAAGTCTGAGGCATGGCACGGTGAACAGAATGTGGGAATTATCAATATATTGTGGATTTGAAGAGTGAAGCAGAAATGGATACAGTCTTGTTTGCTTTTTATAAATTATCGAATTACATCATGATCAGGATTCTTGTATCTTTCAATCCGTTGTTAGAAAAACCACGCAGACACTAAAGGGGGGAGCTCCTCTCAAAAGCGTAGATTTTGAACAGCACCGTTCGGTATGAACATAGGGTGGCGAATCACTTCATAAACATCTGATATCGAAACACACGGCATGAAATGTCCACTGCTGATCTGTTGATTGGATCCGATTGTGTGGCATTTCCCGGAAAATCAGTACCCTTACGACCATTTTCCGGTGTGTTCTATTTCCCTTTCTCGGAATTATTTTTGTCGTTAAAGAAAACAAGTTATTTTAACGATTTTCTTCATGTCCAATGCTATATTCAGCCAGGTTATAATAATGAATACAAACCATACTGAGTTAAACATGAATCACCCATATTCTTGTTTTCGTTTGTATGGAAAATTCGGTTGGAACGAAAACAAGAATATGGGTGAATGCCTTTTTTATATCTTTATTAAGGAGACTTTCAGCCCTGGGCTGGTTCGTCTCCACTGCCTTTAAAAATGCCTGAGCAGACAGACAAGTTTCTCCTGGATAATTAGATTTTGCGTTTACGTTACATTGATGTCACACGTCAGTGCAGTACTGAATTAACCGAGTTATACATACCATCTTCGTATACAAATTTGGTTTTCGTATTAGCTTTTACGTACCTATCTTATTAAAAAAAAGCGATTATCTCACTGAGTTACTCATAGCGGCCCTGTATAAGATTCTCGATAAGATTGTTTAAAATCAGCCGCAATGTAGGCAATCAAAGTTGTTTTTTTTCATGGTACATACTGGTGTCGATTCTAGTATACGCCAGAATGTAGACATACGTGGTGTTTAATGGTAACAGAGAGAGGGGGCGTTTGAAAGATCCAGTAGAGCCCCCCTTGCCAAATAAATAGTCATAGTACCCTAATAAAATTTGTATGATTATTTTGTCCAACGACGTATTCAGGGTATCATCCAAACCATTTGTGAAATAGTAATATCATTTGGGTTATCGTTCGGGTATGGTATTTTCTATGGTATTTTTTAATAGGGTAGTTAAGCTGACATTTCGCTGTTTGACAAAACTTCAAATATTAGGCAAATTTTGCCAAATATATAAATTTTGACAGTCCTATTAGTCCAGTTATATTCTCAACGCTCCTATCACTTATCTGGTCCGGTCATGTTCATAACTCCTGTGTAATCGGTGAAAATCGATGTCGATGATGACACTGATGATGGCATGATGTTGGCTTCACTGATACGTAGTGGGATAGAGCTAATCCTATCGTACTGCACAAGATCGTCTTATCAGTGTAAAGGGCCACCCACATTAGACCCGTTTGCGTTGCGTTGACGTAAATTTGACAGTTAGACAATAGTCACTTTTCCACAACGCGTCCGATCCGGATCTAATGTGCGTGGGCCTTAAGGGTCTTGATCAACCGAGCTGGTGTGTTGGACGATAACCACCGACAAACCGACATGAAACTTAACCTTAACTCTTGATCGAGAATCCATAACCTCCGATTCAGATGTACAGCGATCCCATCTGTCAAAATCATAGAAATATTTTATCTAGATAAAAATCATTTGTCCGACATAGATTAGACACGAACCAACTCATAAATTGTGTACGCGTGTTCGTGGCTAGGGTAAATATTTTCCGCGAACACGGCGGCAGATGTCAGTTTTGTGCTTTGATCAGAAATTTCTTTGTAATTTGTATGGTCATTCATGTCGGTGCAACAATTGTGTGGTGATGACAGAGTTGTAGCAACAATCAATACAAAACTAACGATTTTAAATTGGCTCACTACTTGACTAGCATATTGCTCCCAAGCAAATCGATTAACGTTCCCCATTCTAGTAATAAATTCCAGTACTACACTATGTTTGTTTTGATTCGCTATGGAAGTTTGACAGATAAAATGAGGGGTTCGTGGATTTTCCTATGTTTCGAGGGGTGCATCGATTAGCTTGGGACCGAAGAGAGTACCAGAGCTGAGCCAAAAAGTTTAGCACGTTTCTTCGGGACCTTCTGGTCTTAGAGGTACCTCTATGGTACTACCCATAACAGTATACTCAAAAGATGGCGGTAGTGTTTTAGCGACGATGATTTATACTGAAATATATTCATTGTGTTATGTCTGTTTGTCTGTGGTTAAACGTTCTCCGAACGTTTTATGACACGGTTTATAGTAGATTGTTGAATTCCCAACATCTTTCCAATGGTTCGGTGCGGAAGATGTGTTTTGCTGGATTTTGCCGAGCTGTAAAACCAGCAATTCTTCCAGCAAAATATTTTTGCTGAACGACCAGCAAATTGACCCTACAGAAAAGTAACAGCTGTTTGCTGGAAATTCAGCAACACGTACTGGATATCCAGCAAATTAGAGTGGCAATGATATTGCTGAAAGACCAGTTATTTGATACAAAAAAATTGAATTGGAATTGGTTTTCAAACTGATATAAAACACAATTGTATTTGGTATTTGATTACACGCATGAACATTTCACATATCAATCACATTGATTATTCACTTTTAGGCGTTGAATTAATTTCAAAGTGATTCATAATTTTATTGGATTTATCGAAGGTTTTTAAACTCATTTGATGTTCAACCCGGCAATATTAGCAGCGAGCTTTGCAGCTACAGATAAACAGAGAATCAGTGTAATCCATATAAATCAGTGCCAACATTTCAAAGGGGCGTAATTGTATTTGTAAACAATGGCTTTAGCCGTCGATTTCTCGCAAATAAAAGCTTACCACTGAAAATTAATTACACCAGCAGATAGAGGAATGTTTCCTCTACCAGCTAGCATTGTTAATTTGGAGGAGTGAGCTTTTATTTGCGAGAAATCGACGGCTAAAGCCATTGTTTACAAAAGCAATTACGCCCCTTTGAAATTTTGGCACTGAAATATTGAGTTCACTATACATTTGCGAATATTCTAATTATATTTTACCTGTAATTCATGATTAGTTGCTCTCTTCAATAGAAAAACAGAATACGCGGGAGAGTGAACGGTGATGATTTTGACGTTTCATACAAGTTACTGAGCATCCAGCAAAATATCTCAAATTACTGAACATGCAGCAAGATATAGTTTTGCTGTAAGCCATTCAGCAATTTGTTTTGCTGGAACTCGATCCCAAAATTTGGTGTGTAACGGTGTTTCGCGAAAACCCATTAATGGATATAAAAATACCCATTATCGCTAAAAGTGCCTCTCCTCATTTAATGGGTAAACTATGGTTTACTCATAAATGGGTAAATGGGTGGTCTGTCAATAAATGGGTGTTTTTTCACCCATTTTCTTAAATTGTGTTTACCGTAAAATGGGTGAAAAAATACCCATTTTTACAAATGGAGGATGCAAGCGCTCGTTGATGCAAAATTTTTTCTAATACATTGAAAATAAATCCAGGTGTTCCGCTTAAATTTTCCACGAAATATTATAATACCATATTGGATATCAATACAAATTACTTATCCGTAAGCCTCTCTAACGTTTCGGATTCTAACATTTTCCGGAGATCGTCTATTTTCGCTAAATATGCTGCGGACAGTAACTGTTTGCATTCCCAATGAATCGGTAACGGAAATGAGACGATGATATTTCAAGAGCAAATTTTCATTACGTCGAAAGTAACAAAGGTAAACAAAGTCGAGATATCAGTGTCAATCGATTCTCCTGCTATAACACTATGTACTGTCCGAATATAGGATCACATCCCATTTTTAAATTTATTTACCAGTCAAATTGCTTTTTGACGTAATCACCTGCCGATCAGAATATTTTTCGATGTTACTTAAGTCACCCGATTTCTATGGAGATGCCGTTTGACTTAAGTAACAGCGCTGAGAAACCCGTGAAAAGTGTACGTTCGTCGTTTCGCTTTCTCATTATTAAAGTGAATAAATCGAACTGTTTGTTGCTAAGATGATTTCGGTGGTCCTAAAATGATGAATGGGCTGCACGTAAGGAGACGTAATTGATAATTCTCCCGAATATCCTGGTAAATACACTTTGACTTAAGTAACAATAGGGGCCACCAAACGACGTATAATAACTTTTGACTCAAAAACCAGTATTTTTAGCATGAAAGCTAGCGATTTGCATTTGTATGACTAAAACCCTGCTAAATATGTTAAACATTGCTATCACTATGGGATTATATGTGTTTAATTGGAAATAGGAATAACTTTTCGGTCATCAAAACAAAACTTAATTTTTCTCGGATTGGTGCGAATGTTACTTACGACATAATGAAAATTTGCTCTTGATTTCGAAGTGTTTTTTCACCCATTAGTGGGTAAAAAATATACCCATTATTCAACCGTGAACTGATTCTTTAAATGGGTATTTTTTCACGCATTTTATGATTTCGAAAATCCCCCATTTTTTGACAGCTGCATACATGGTTTGAAAATGGGTATTTTTTACCCATTAATGGGTTTTCAGGAAAAACCGTGTGTGTAGTAATCTCCGCTGCAGCAATCGAGAAATCATCGAGAGAAGTCATTGTTTACAAAAGCTGTAACGTTTTAATTCCACACGGACAGAAAATTGTTTGCATTGAACCAAACAAAACTTTAGTTGTATTTAAACAAACAATTCCGGTTGAAATTATATTGCATTTTGTTGTTTCAATAATACTTATTCATATAAATTCAAAGTAGGATTCTTTTTGTTTTAATAAGCCACTTTTCAACTGCAACTATTGTAAAAATAACTATATTCTATTATTAATCCAACAATAGTTCATTTTAATTTAGCATTTATTTGCTGTGTCCATTCCCCGGGCCATGAATGCAAAAATAACTACCAACCATTCCCTCGTTTTCACCCGGACAAAAGTGTAAACAATAACAAAACTTGTGAATTTCGGGAAATAAGTGCAAAATTTCCGAAAATCTTGAGACTTGAGGTAAGTAAGTATGCTGCAGTTCAAGCTGCAGTTGCTAAATATAATCAATTTTCTGTTTTTTTCCTTGATTTTTTTTTCG